AATTGAGTGTGACTGTCCTTAAGTGGAACTTTGGTCCATCTCAGGCAATTCATTACTTCCAGAGAGTGCTTATATTTAAAGTGATGGAAAATAAACCTGGCAGTATTATGCTAATTACGTTTTAAAATTCAGTTTTATGAGAACATTATCTATAAATATATGATAAACTTACCTCTTGGTGATTGAGGTCCCAGTGGAAGTTGTTGGATTTGAACTCATATCTGCGCTAACTTAAAGTTTGAGGGAAATATGGTTTTGGTCTGTACGTGTAATAAAAATTTAGTTAAACCTAAATGTTTCAGTCCAACTGAAAAGAGAGTGCTACATTGGAACCCTACACATAATTCTGTAAATGAAGAAGGACTAGATGCGATACTTAACTGTAAAAAAGGCTGATTTTGGTCTTTTTTGCACTCTGTAACTTCACATTGATGTAAAGAAAACTGTAAAAAGCCATATAAGACCCCAGGAAAATTGATTTAATACAACAGTAGGGAAGTAGGGAGGATATGAGCAGCTTTGAGCTGTTAATTGGCGTGGGGAGAGCTGCCATGACACTGCGCAGCTCTCGGTAATCCCTTCATAGTAGCACAGACTATAGCTGGGTAATCACAGGGCAGCTCACTGTTCTCCCTTTTGGTGTCTACTTTTACAAAAGCAGCAGCACAAAATTCTTACGAGTGTAGTTATTGTGGTTCTTCAATCAAAATACTTCATAGGATGCAGCCAGGGAGATTAGTCTACATGATGTTTTTAGTAATAATATTGTATGCTATACAAGCTTCTAAATTCCTTTAATTCAAAACCACAGGAAAAATCTTTTCTATTTTAATAATTATAGCACACATTTACACCAGACATGCAGGAGAAACAAGTGCATTACCAAAAAAGATGGAATTAATTTAAGCCACCAAAATACGGAATTCAGATAAGCCTTGTGCTCAAATGCCAGCAGGGCAGAAAGGGAAATAGTTAATGTATAGTTTCCTATGATAAATAGGCTTATTTCCTGCTGTGTAAATAAATCTATATTTCTTATTTTGTTCTCAATTTGTAATACAATCACAATTCGAGCAATAATGGGCTCCCTGGGAGCTTAAATCAAAATATTCATTGTTATTAATTTTGAGGGTTTACATTCGTCTACCGTCATTAGCAAAACACAGTAGCTGTAAACAGTAAAATTACAGTAGTTCACATTAACTGGTGCTTTCATAGCTATATGTGGAACAATTGTCTGAGGTTATGCTCCAGAGCATCTAAGTGTGATACTCAGTTGCTATTTTGCTGATCAGTAACTGCTTGGACCCTATGGTTCCCTTATAGTGAAACTAGTAAGTCATTAATAATTTCCTTTTATTCCTTTTTTCTACTGGACTCTTTACATGTTCTACAGATACCCCTATATTACTTAGTCCTGGTTCGTGAGATAGATTATTACAGTGAAGAGACACGGTTAACATGTCTTTACAACTGATGGATTAATCCTCAGCAGTCTGATCAGCTCCTGACCTGAAATTGTTTTGTTCAATGACTTATAATTTTCTCTAGCTCTTAGGGATACTGTGAAAGTTTTGAATATAGCTCAGGATTTGAGGTTACTGAAAAATGCATTCTGAGTATTTGAAGCACAGTTTAAGCCTTCCCATGGTAATCAAGCTGCAAACTGAACATGGTTAACCTTGATTCTAAATATATATCTCAACTGTGTGAGTAAACACATGTCCTGTGCAGGAATGACTCACAACTTCTGAAGCTCTTAACAAAGCACAGTTGAATCATCTAATTAGTAAAACAGTAAATAAAAATTTCAAAACTTCCATATGGCTTTGGAGGGGCTAATCTTTTCTGTGTGTTCATAAACACTTCTTCGTTGCTCTTGAAAATGAGGTACATATCAAAGAAAAAAGAAATCATTTGGTGGTGTCTACAGTGGTTTTACCTGGATTTGAAGAGACCTGGGATTAGACGCTCTGCAAACGTGTAATCAGTATGAAGACAACACAATCTCTTGTGACTTCACAATCTGAATTTTCTATTATTACTTATGATTTACATGCCACTTAAATTATCTTCGAATTTATATAGAAATGAAAGGCATTACTCGTTTTTCCGCTCCCTTAGGAATCTTCCATCTTACTGCCAAAGCCTTTAGTTTCCATTTTGGGTCCTCAAAGTGATTTCCTTAAGCCTCAGCCTCTCTACTATGGCCATATGTCCCCCAAAACTAGAATTCAGGATACCACTACGTGATATGCTGCTGATTCAAAGAGCGTATTCTGTGTTTGTGCAAGGTAAATAGGTTAGCTATATTACATTCAATAGAGGCTCACTCAGAGCTGGGACTCTGAGTTTTCACCATTAAGAGATGAATGCATTGTGCCTGAAGAGCTTCTAGCATCTTCTATCTCCTAATGACACCAGTGGAAGCACCTCAAGGGAAAGGAGATGGAGAGATGGGGAGTCAGGATGAAAGATCTTTTAAAGAGTCATTTGAGATTCTCTTTTCAATATGTAAAAGGCTAATAGGTTTCATTATGATATTAGCTCCTCTGTCTTAAGAAAATGTGATTCAGTAGCTGGAACGTCAAGAATACATTCAGCAATGTTTTACCGGACCTTGTATAATCTCCATCTTCTTTTTCTGCCAGCTGTTTCATACAAGACCACAGCCTCTTGAACATTTGTGAAAGCGATGGGCTGAAGCAAGGAATGTTTTTTTTTTTCAAACCTAGTAACTTCTGGACACCCATAAGCTTCTTCCAGTAATAGAAGGTTAAATTCTCACTGTGAACATCTTTATGTGGAGAGCCAATTAGGTTTCAAGAGAATATTTAGATTTCTTTAACTCAGTTGAAAAAGCTTGTAAACAATGATCAGGTCACACATTAATTTCACTGGATAGCCAAGGAGGAAATTTCAACTATCCAATGCTTTTATCAACAGCCACTGTAGTTTGTACATGTCTCAGCCACAGATATAAAGAATGAAAATAATATTATTAGGCAATTCAGCCACATCATAGTATTTTACTTTCTGTGATTACAAATAATACATTGGAAATTTCATCTTTTAACTTTTTTAATGAGTCCTGGAGATTACTTTTGCTACCACCTATTTTTTCATTAGCTTCCTAACAGACTACAAGTGTCATTCTGTGCATTACTAGAATGACAACAGAATCCGATCTAATAATACATCTTGATTATAGCTGTCTCACAAAATGATATATTGTATATATATTAAATATTTATATTAAACTGCTTACATTTATATATATTTAGAAGTTTTAGACTTTTTTGAATGAAAGAGAAATGTATGTGCATTGTAGAACACTGATTCTCATTAGAACTTTTGCATCAGATACAGAAATGTATATTGTTACTGGCTGCTTAACCTTGATTCCTTATTTCACTTCTGTCAAAATTTTCTTGTCAGATGAAATAGATCATATTCAAACAGTCCGAAGTACTTTGAAAACAGAGGGTTGATTCAATTAGTTTTTAAATTTATTTTACAATATTTAAATAACATTATACAAATAACGTTATATATACGTTTCTTAGTCTTACGAAAATTTTTGCCTGCTGCGTGACTTTTGCTTACTCTACATGTACTTTTCTGTTAACCTCTTTTCTTTAGGATTACTTTCAATATACCAAATTTCTCAATTTATTTCTTTTTTGAAAATTATTTGAGAAATGTATCACTCCTTCCTCATATGAAATTTCTACCAAAAACTCCATGCTGGCTTGTATAGCACTATAGTAAACGTGTTCAGACTTCAGACATCCCTGTAAATGCCGAAAGCTGATAGGGTTAGCCCTGCTCAACACCGGATTTATGCCTCCAGGTGGTGTCACTCCCTGCAGCAATGTTTAAGTCACAAGGTTATTTTGAAATATGCCATCCTGGGGGAATATTTTGTGATGTGTGGTCTAGAAAATACCAATATGTTCAGAAGTGGCTGATACTCTGGGTGGGGGGACAAAAAGGGGGAGGTTAAGCTTCTGCATTTCTCAAAATGACTTTTAAGAGTATATCTGCAGAAGCCAGATGTTGGGCTCTTTCTGGGGATCAGCACCATTTTAGGAGTCTCAGACTCAGCATTTGTGACCACCGAAATCACTAGATTCTTCTGAATTGGCCGAGGGCATTGTGCCACGTCCTTGAAATCACAGAGAAGTCTAGCTTTATAGTACAGCATATACATATAATCTGTGCTATGTACATGTTATAGATTTCTGAATTATTTATACTAATCGATCATTAAGGCCTATAAAACAAATTTGGTAGTTTAAGGGAAATGCAATGTTAGTGTCCATATCAATTTAAAAAGAAAACTAATAAATTTACAAACTATAACTTTTATACATAAGTCAAAAATTGTAGTAGAGAAGTTTAGCTGATATTTATTTGGAAAAGTTGTAATTCCTTTTCATTTATTGCAGTTAAGGGTAATGCAGCCATTTCTAACTCATGCCAATAAAATATCTTTATGTTTTTATACATTGTAATGTATTCTCCCTCTCTCTTTTCCGTCCATGTTCCTGTGTCTCAATACAAAACACGTAATTTGTAAGCCCAGGGTTAAATATTAGACACCTTCATTCAGCTTGCCCAGAAACACTGAGTACCCAGTGAGACTTTTGAGTACCGTGTAAAATATTCAGCACCGTTTATATTGTCAGACAAAAAGATTTATTCGTCAAAGGGTGAAAAGCTTTACACAACAGTGGAACTATGGCTGCTATATTGTAGCATCACAAGCCACATCTTAAAGTTCTGTTGGAAACACTATAATAAAAAAATTGTTGCTGACAATATTGGCTGTGAAATTACATCTAGAAGCAATAAATTATCAGGACCGTATTGTAGACCAATTTTAGAACGACTAATCAAAGCCAATAACTTTTGTATTTATTGTGAGAATTGGTAGTGGTTAGATCTAATGAAGACTGTTGATAGACACTCACTGTCCTAATTTCCTGCTTCATCAGAGCGTGTAACTGAAGTGAAGACTGACATCTTCGTCACCAGTTTTGGGCCTGTTTCAGACCATGATATGGTAAGTGATGGTCTATATTTCTACAACATTCATTTTCTCTGTCCCTAATTTGGAGGATGAAAGATCTATGCAATAACTTATTTACTCCTTTTAAGGCTAGGCTTTTTTTAAACCCTTGATTCCAAAATGCTATCAGCTTGCTAGCTGTGACTGCATTTAAGTGCCCTGAAATTAGCAGCCTCAGTGACTTTAATAATGTGTTTTAACAGACCTTGTATTTGCTACATAATATATTATGAAATGCATTAGGGTTTGGATCTGTATTCTTCTGAGAATGATTGCTCAGGTCCTTGCTGGCACATCACTGATCCAATTTGCTGAAAAAGATCATCACCCTCGTAAAACACAATTAACACTTATGCCTACAGTGTGACATCTGTACAGTCTAACCTGTGTTTTTTTATTAAAAGCTACTGATCAATGGGAAGTGACTTTCCTAGATCTTGGCTGCTGAAAGAGAAGATTAATGGGAGAATTAGTGTCATTTCTTTATGGAATGAATATTAAAATCAAATTGCTAGATAACTGCAGGGGATGGAGAAGTTCAGAAAACTGAATGGAGATGTTGTGAGTCCTGGTGTTTAAAGATATTAAAAATGTGTAAAAATACAGATAAGATACTTTAAATTTTGCATATGAATGAGGTCTTCACAAGTAGGTTGCTATTGACAGGGAAAGCCTGTTCTGCAGCTACTAGTATCTGCTGGATCCCGTGTTAGGAAGAATGCTGAAACACCCTCATTAACTGACATGAAGAAAACAGTTCAACCTTGTAACTGGCTACATTTAGCTAAAGACATTCACCAAAAGAAAGGTGAAAAAAAGAAGATAAAAAATTATCACAGGGAGGAAACATTTTCCATTTCTTACCACAAAACTGTCGGTTGTTTAATATGAACTAAAACTGTAGACAGGCCTTAAGCATCAGGTTATTACAAGTTTCTGACTACTCAAAATAATGTTAAGGGATGGAATAAGAGAGAAAGTAACTTCTACAAGATGGTTTGTTTTCCTAAATGAACTTTATGCAAAGACACCATTTTCCTGATTGCTTGGAAAATAACACTTATAAAATCACAGTCAAATGTGGAACTGCAACTGATGCCATGGTATTTAAATGAGGATGAATAGCTTGGGTAGCACAGACTTTTTGACCAGTCGTTCTGCTGAGAAGAACTCCAACAGAAGGGTAATCCAGACAAACAGCTAGACCAGTGACTTGTCTCCTCAGCACATGTATACAATACTGTCTAAGTACTACATATACTATGAAAAAGAATTTAAAAAAAAATCATTCAATGACTTCTGCTTTTTTGTTCTCTGATAATCCTGTGAAATTACAATGTCCTCTTAAATTAAATATAAAATATATTTATTTTATATATTAATATATATTATAATTACTAAGTAGAATGTAAAGCTAAATTGGCATTCCTAGCACATACTGATATTTGTATGAGACTTGGGTTTTAAGGTATATGTATTTATATTATTATTAAATAATACATTAAAAGAGGGGAAATTCCTTGGATTAAAGATTTGTAGAAACCACTGACATCCACTGTTTGTGTTCTGGTAACTGGTTCAGCAAAACGCTCCATCTTCCTTTCCCATTTCTGTCTTGAAATAGGTAACCAATCACCTCTGGACAAACTGAAAAATTTGAACAGAGTCATGTGACTAAAATATGTATTTTTTTAAGTTTAATAGTCTTTGAATTAAACCTGTAGCAGCTGCAGTTTGTAAGTGATCTGAAGTTGCTCCACTTTTGTACAGATCCCTCCTCTTGGGACAGGTGTGTTGTTAATTACCTGAAAATTAACGTAATTTAAAGTATTGGGCTGGACATAGATGCTTGTGGGAGGTGAACAGAAAAAGTGATATATGTGGGTGAATATATGCTTTGTATTAATATTTATTAATTGTTTTCTATAAGTCAGCTGGTTAAGATATTGTTTACTCTGTTGAGTCAAATTACTAGAAAGCTCCAATAATGAATGGCAATCTAATAAACAAATGGACACGAATGCTTTCCTACATGTAGATATAAGTTTAGAGTGACTGATAGGCCTGCTGAATTACTTGGGACTATATGATGTTTGGACTTCAACATCTACTTGTACTTTGTAGTTTCAGGTGATTTAGTTAAGTAGAATGTAAAGCTAAATGGGTATTCCTAGGACATAGTGATATTTGTATGGGATTTGAGTTTTAAGAAAGAATAAAACTGAAGCCAAAAGTAATCTACTTTCAGTATTAGGAACAGGTATATTTGAAAAAAAAATATTGACTTCAGCTATGATTCAGCATAGCTGAATTACTATAGCATAAGCAATGATTACCTAAAAAAACCAACCCTCAAAAACAATTAAAACCCCATACCACATTGGCTCCTGATTTTCACTTAGTTAAACAAGAGGAAGAATTCGTTAGCCGCTTAATATAAAAGTGTGTGACCAAGAAACACACAGGCAGGCGTTAATATGCTTTGAAAACTAAGGAATTGGAGAAAAGTATTTAGTGTAAAACTCCTACTCGCCTCCCCTCGAAAGCATGTGTGTGCAGCCTACTCATGCTGACTCTTTTGCTTAAGGAAATAAGTGTGAAACCAGAGACAGAAAGAGAAAGATAAAATGAAGAGATTACCAGAATATAAATTTTATATTCATTTCAATGTACTTTAGTGCAAAGCCCTGTATGCATACTACAGGTTGGTTGTAGACACCATCATTTGAGGGCTACCCCAAATTTGCTCCATGGAGCAGATTGACAGTAAGCGTAGACTGGGTTGTGGGATCTGGTCACAGGGAAGCCTCGCAAGCAGCTGTACCGGCACTGGGGGAATGATGCGCTGCTGCCTGAGCCCCAGACTGATGGCTGGGAACGGGCAACGAGCTCTTCCAGCTGACGCCGTGTTACGAAACTACAGCCACAGTGAGACATCAGCATACCTAGACCATCTGTTTGCAGGAATCCAATGAGGCAGTTACATAGATAGTAGGTTGATATATCAGGCAGTACATGGTGTTCCTACCCACTCTCAATACACTCTTTTAAGAGCAGCATAGACATAACCTGTTATTCTATAAAGAGAATGTCTTGACTTGTTCTTAAACTTGTAAATAAAGTTAAACAGGAGAAAAGCACTTTTTAAAATAAAAACCTCTTTTTTTGGAAGAACTTTGCAGGTTTTCAGGCATGATCTCTCAGATGGTAGATTGAACTAATCAACAGACAAGTGGCTTTTCTCACATGACTGTCATTTTGGTGAAATTTTTCATGTATATTATCTGGAATAAGAAGCATTTTAAAATTAATTTCTTTCATAATGATAGAATTAATTTCTTTTTTTCCTAGTAAACCCTCATTCCCACTGCTTCCGTACTGTAAGCTCTTCAGAAAATAATTTCTATCTTAATACCTTCCTGTAGTGTGGTCTACCCTGTGAATAAGCAGTCTTCAGGGAGAGAGATCAGATGAGTAAATTGGAGAACGTTTAAGTCAAAGTGTTATAAATATTAAATACCATACAACTTATTGCCAAAGTGCAGATAGGGATCTTTTTTCTTTACCTACACATTAAGGAATGAAGAGTCTCCACTGTGGAGAATTTATTCTGAATTTCATCTTACTCATATGTTTGCATGTAGACTAGTGCTATAGTACATGGTTTGGAGAAAATCATTCCGTTTCCTTGTTCTATATGTCACCCTCCTGTAGAAGAGTATCTGATGACTTGATCTTAAAGATCAGCTGTCTGTCAGGATTCATTTGAGGAGAATTATTGTACATGTTCAAGCGGGTAGTGAAAGCTAAAGTAGTTGAGAAATCTCAGCCAAAATGAATTCATCCTATATGGTGCAATGGTCTGGGATAGAGAAAGATTCAGCCTGTGCCAGGTGTGACCTGTCAGCTACTTTTTAATTGAGTTTCGTCTTATACTGTCAGGTCCCTTATCAAATCTCAGACTTCTTGTTCTTTTCCAGCATAAGAACCTTGTGTTCATGTAAACCAAAGAACCAGACTCCATTCTCTCAACCTGTACCACCTCCCACTCACCTCCTTCTTTGCAGTTGAAAGAGATAAAAAGGGAATGGCTTACACACACATTGAAATAATGTCACCTTCTGGGCATCTCTTTTACCTTTCCCGTGCGTGTAGGAGGAAATTTTCTTTGGAGCTAGTTAAAGTGGAGAAAATCCAATATTTTAATGTCATCTACTGCATTTCAAACCTCCTGCTCACCTACTCTGCTGCACACCTGGGACAAGATTTTGCATACAGTTCAACCTAAAGCCCCAACCAAGAAAAATTCTGAAGCAAGTAATTGTCTATAATTGTTCAATTGCTGTCACTGGAGCTGAATAAATCCAGGGCATCAGCAGCTCACTGAGCACATGATTAAAAAAAACGAAATACAATTAAGTATGCACTAAAATTATTCAGAGGTCTGGGAGGCAAATTAAAAAACAAAACAAAACAAAACCCAAACAAACCCAAAGCAAGACCACCCCATGGAATGACAACATTTCCATGTCCATGAGAAATTTTTTTAGGCATTTCGTGCCCTAAAAGTCCAGGAAAAACGCACCATCAGTAAGAATCGCCATTCTTACTTGCCGATAGTTACACAAGGAATAAACATCTCACAATTGCTTACGTCATACAGAGCATTACCATTTGTTAGAAGAAAAAATGACAAGTCTAAAGGAGTCTGCCACAGATTTTTTGCATACTCATTCCAGAATGTTTCTGTTTACTAACATATTCCTTGGTGCAGCTCTTTTCCTTGTAGCTGTGTGTGCCTTCACACACAAGAATTTCCTTTATTTCAAGATGTGCCACCTCCATTGGCAGGATCTCAGCAAAGGTTCAGTTTCTCAGCCAAAAGACTATCATTCAGAGTAATTTTGAACAGTGTTCAGATAGCTACTTCTGACTTTTATCATAATATCATAGCTATGAACGATGGAAGGGGCAGGATAATCTACTGAAATTTCATGTCAGAGAGGAATTTTTCCCTGGGAAAATATTATAGTATACTGCATCCACAGGAGTTTTCCACACTTTTACCCCACATACATCTATATTTTATGTATAATACTGCAACATATTTTTCCTAATTCCACTCTCTCCCTCTTCACTTTTTTCCTGTTGCTTTGTAACAAATAATCCTCTCATTTCATAGCAAGTGTTGGTTATTTTGATTTTCCCCTTGTACACTGTCAGCCACTGCATCTCTTCCCATTGGCCCAATCGTTGCATAACCGAAATATAATTCTTAGTCCAAAGCTGTCCTCGGTTTGTGCTTTCTGCAGTCCAGTGATTTGGCCCAATAAGACATTCTACTTCTCATAAATCTCATAAACTTCACATAATTTTACTGAACTGTGAACTTTTCGCAGGTTGACTACATGTTTATGCTAATGAGACACTTAGAACAAAAGGGTCTAGTAAGACACTGTCTCACCAGGTTTGTTTGCCTCTAAGAGACATATTCTTCCTGTGCTACACATAGTGGCTATCACATCCACAGCTTCAAATTATGGTTTTATGGAAGGTGAAGGACAAGTGAGAAAAAGGTGAATTATTTTGTTTCCATTACATTATATCTCAAATACTATGATCTCAATACTCTATTCCCTGACATTTATTCTGTTGAACACAGTAATGGCATTGTAACTCTTTAATAACCAGCTTCAGGTACGTTGTAAGTAATATAAAGAATAAACATCTGATAATTACTAATTTCATTAATAGTCATGTTGCTTCTAGGGAACGGTAAGAATATACTTTTCAAGTTCTCATATTGCAACATATGCCATCATAAGCATTTCCCTTTTTTCTGAATTGATGTAGGAATACACTATAGATGTATTTTTCCGCCAAAGCTGGAAAGATGAGAGATTAAAATTCAAAGGACCTATGACTGTTCTCCGGTTAAATAATTTAATGGCCAGCAAAATTTGGACACCTGATACGTTTTTCCACAATGGAAAGAAGTCAGTGGCTCATAACATGACAATGCCAAATAAACTATTACGAATTACAGAGGATGGGACATTGCTATACACAATGAGGTGAGCCCTAAAATATTATATCCTTCATTTAGTTTGACAATTTAACTTGTTAAAGCATTGTATTTCCCAACCAGGAAACAGGTTCCTTTCTGAGCATAATTTGATTCCTACTTACTATTTATTTTCACAATAGGCCATGGAATGATGGACAAACTTAAACATTTGCAGTGTTTCTTTTTTTCCTCTCCTGCTGTGCTACCTTTACATTCCCTGGATATGTCTTAATGCTTGATTTTAAAAAGTTACTTACAGTATTAGGAATCCACCAGTTTGCAGAGGACCTTAATTTGGAGTTGTTTTCATGGATTCCATCAGCAAATTGTAATAAAACCAAAAGTTTAATGTAATCTAGACTACTAGATCATGTACAAGGGTCTTTAATTTTTGGATCTTATAGAAAGCACATTCTAAAAACTAGGAGGTACACATTCTTCATATTTCTTGTTGCTTGGGAATAGGGAGCAGGACAGTCTAAAAATAGACATTTCTTACTCCATTCATAACAAGCAAAACAATTCACAAGCATTTGGAAAGTCAGGAGAAAAAATTATTTTTGTGCTGGCACCACTCTTACTGGAAATGTGTTATTCTCTTCATGGATAACTAAACTTTAGCTATCCAGTTGTTAGCAGAGGGGTTAAATCCTTCTGAAATAATGATGATACATAGTCATGGAAACATTCTGGATTAAAAGACTGCAAATTAAACAGTGAAAAAAATGGTATGTTGTCTCTACAGAGCTACACATCCCCCCATTTATGTCTCCCATGGAATCAAAAAAGGTGTAAAGTGATTCTGTTGACTCAAAGTCAAGATGAATAGCCTAGTATGTAGGTGAACACTGAGTTTTATTTTAACAATTTTGAAGATGTTTTTAAAAGCAGTACAAGTATTTGGAGAAAACAAAGTCTCCAGGCTTTTGGGAGCGTGTCAAATATATTCAATTTATTCTGCAACATCTTTCAAGACTGCCTAAGCTAGGGTAGAATCTGCTGGGCTAGTAGTTATACAAGTCTAGCTCAATTTTTCTTGTCTTTCTAAATGCTTGGCTGTTAGGGATGTAATCCACAAGAACACTATCTTGGCAGCACATAGTTCACATATGTCTCTTTTTTAGACCATAACCATTTCTATTTGCTCACCTTTGCAAGTGCCTTAATACAATCTTCTGTCTAGTATTCAAGTAATATTGTTCATTCCTTGCTGATGCATGGTATGTGACTGTTTCTAGTTTATTTAATCTCTTTTATTGAGAAACGTGTTTGCACCCAAGCTGATAGCAATGAAATGATTTCAGCAAATGTCTGAGCATCCACAGTGGGCCAATTTACTGATGGCAGAGAGGAAGCAATTTCAGTTTCTAATAGATTTTAATCCTCATGCCAGGTTAGAAGTCTAGTCATGCCTCTGCTGTACAGTGAAACATGGTAGAGAGGCAGAGCCAGTCGCACTATTGTTTCTACACATGCCTGGCAGCACCCCCAGCCAGACAATTCAGGTCCTGTTCTAGCTGCTAATTAATCACATAACTGATATTATGCTGTACTTATTCTATGTGTCTTACTAGAATTCTGTTTGCTATTGCTATGAAACTAGAATAAATGTGTCCTTTTGCTCGTTAATCCACTATAGATTGACTGTGAGAGCAGAATGTCCAATGCATTTAGAAGACTTTCCTATGGATGCACATGCTTGCCCCTTGAAATTTGGAAGCTGTAAGTTTATTTTAAATTGAGGTTTCTCCCTTTTTAGGCCACTTTACAGAAGTATTTTGCAACTGAGAAAACCTCATGGTTTTAATCTGGTGTATTTTTCACTTATTTTTTGCGGGGTTGTGTTTTTATTCTTCTATATATTTATACTTAATTTAATGAACCTCTTCTATGTGTCTTAAATATCCCCCCATGTCATGCCTGGAAATTTACAAAAGAGAAAAATGACAGTGCTCAAAACATCTAGAAAAGTAGCTTGTCACATAGAATATACTGTTAATCTTATAGTTGCTTTATTTTGTTAAGACCCAAAATCAACGTTAGAGAAAAGTAATGCAGACCATGGATAACTGAATTGCTTTAGATGAAAACAATTCCCCTACCATAGTCTTGGCACGTTTAGAACAAAATTTTGCCTAAGAATATAAAATACTCATATTACTATAATGCAACATTCCTGGAAGTGAAAAATCTCACAAAACTCCAACTAGAGTTCTACGTTTGCAGCATTTGTAACCTTAGATTTGAGAACATAGTGGACAAAATGTAATGTAACTGAAATCAGTGTAATAACTGACAAATCTTTCTGTAAATTGAGAATTTCCCCAAAAACTTTAATTTGCATAACCACCAACCTGACACTGATATTTTCAAACTTAGCTAAACATAATATTTGAAAAAATTAAATATAGCCTCCCTTCAACTCTTTAAGTACAAAAAAAAAAGTGACGAGCTGCTTTATTCTGGTTGGTCCAACACAAACCAGGAAGACAAAACGTGTGGAAGAAGTAATAGTGTACAAATTGTTTCTTCAATGGCTATTTTTTTCTAGTAGAAATGGGTCGTTTCACTGATAATAGATACTTAGTGACTTGATCTATTTTAGAAATCAACAAAGAGAACACCCAATTCATTCTTCACGTGTTACCAGACAGGGTGATAATTTACTTTGGGCTGAATAGCTGTTTACCATGAGAAAGGACTGATGCTTTATCTTTAAAGAGCTACTAGCCTCCTAGATAAAATTTAGACAACAAAAAGCTCACAGAAACTTAGAGTATAACTGACAAGGATAGTTTACTCCTTGAATGTTAAGTTTGCTTACCGCACTTCCAATAAATCTTTCCAAATCTCCTGTGAAACAGAAGGGGGTGGGGATAAGCCTTACGCCAGCTAATAATAGGGCAAATAGCTGCAGTGGGTCCTTGATTAATAACAGGAGATCTGTGCACCTGAGATCCCAGTTAGATCAGGAGTGGGCACAGGATTGAATTTCTTTCGAAGTGCGCATTAAAGTGTTTATGCAGACCGCGTGCTGGGTCTGGGAGGTGGGAAGGTGGCTAATTGTGCATGAAACCTGCTAATGCAAAGTTAAACTATCAACTGGTTTTGAACAAGTGTGAACTACTCGATTCAATTTTTATAGACTTGATAAGACACCTGTCACCACATCTGTGCATTATTGAGCCACAGCCTAAACACCAGACACTCCCTAGTCTGAACAACAGTTCCCGTTTCTTTCCTACATTGAGTTCTTTCTGGCCCACTGGGTCCCAGATTAACATACTCCTAGTTCACAAAGTGCATGGCTTTCCAGATTACTAAGGATCTTGCCTCGATTAAATGATTAAGAGATGCAGAAAATATGAATGAAAAGGGGTAGATAATATGGATTTGAGTACAACTCCAGAACCTCACCACAAGGTAAAAACAACACAGGAAAAAGACATGCAAATGTATCTACATATCTTTTGTATCTAAATCAGTTTCCTTTTCCTAAAAAAAACCCCAAACTTATCATAATATACATTATTTTTACATACATTTATTATTATACATATACAAAAAATAATCAGTGATATTTCTGACTGAAAGACCATTTCTTACACAAAAGTCAGAACTGGTAACTGGCATTCTAAGCGCAGAGTGCAGGCGTGGTCTGCCCTGTTTTACAGGCTATTTTTGGTGGTGGTGTTTTTTTGTGGGTTTTTTTTGTTTTTTGTTGTTGTTGTTTTGAACACTAACTGGCTATCATACCAGCTGTCCTAAACAGGACCTAGCAAAACAAATAACTCCAAATGCTGGGAAGGGCCATGAGACAAAATCAAGGAGTTACCTTGAAAACTTTGCATTCCCCTAGTAAATTCAGGTGAGCTTCTAATCTGGGATCTTCATGGAGAGAAATTCCTTCTGTAACATGGTTTTATTGCAAACACTGCATGGGGAATTCAGTGTCCAGAACAGAGCCTTAAAGTTGGACCTCTCCCCTCCTTCTCATGAGATTATAGAATATTTGTCTCACTATTTAGTTATTGATATAAATAGAAATAACTCCCATGGGACAAATGGCTGGACCCAAGCAAGATACGAAAATAGCACTCGCCATTGTACATAGAAAAAGAACAGTTCTTATATTTACTTGCCACTTTTCCAATGGGAATCATATTTAAATACATTTGGGACATTTATGTCAAACAACTAAAGCAATTCATTATGATCATCTTAATGGACTGAAAAATTTACTGAAGGAGACATTTAGTTGTCATGAAAGCCATGCTTTAAGTGCAGACTACAATATTACATTTAGTAGCCCCCCAAGGTAGCATTTGCCCAGCTGTTTGTTTTGGATTAGATTGGATAAGAGTTTTTCCATGTCCTCCACTGTTACTCATCATTTGTTGGAGCTGGATTCAGAAAAGCCTCATATTGAAGGAGTCGCACGTCTCCTACAGACTCTGCCTATACTGTAGAGGCTGATAAATGTTTGACCCAGCTCCAAGGCTAAAGTGATTTGCCAAAATAGCATCTTAAACTAGAGGTTATTCCAATGTAAATTCGATGTGACAAATGCTAAAGAAATTCTGGAAAAACAACAAGCCATATGTTAGCAAAACAAAATCAGAAAGGGAGATGCTCTCCTCAACTCTTACCACAAAAATCTGATTGTCAGTTTAAAGCTAAGGCCACTCTGGAAAGCAGCAGCGATAGGAGCAGAAGGCTGTGTTGCTACTTACGAAATATCTGAATTGGAAGCTGAAAGTGGAAGCTAAACAGAACACTGAATCTGGCAGTTACAAGTCAGGGCGAGCTCATTTCCAGCACTGATTAGTGTACTCCCCTCTAGCCCAATCCAGTGGTTCTCAGCAGCTCAGGAAACCAGTCCTCTCTCTTCCGAACTACTCTTATGCTTCAGAACAAGTAAAATGCTTGAAAATTACTGTTATTATTGCCTCTTTTTCTTTATGTGACTACATTAGCAAGCCAATCCTTGTACTTACTGTGGCCATTATTTTTAAGGTCAGAATTATTAAGATGTAGATTTTCATTTACCATTGATTCCAAAAAGCTATGTATATGTTACAGCACTTGGGGAATATGAAATCTGAGGGTAAAAGCACCCTTCTGCTTCAATAATGTGGGATCAAATGCCATGCAATTAATTTATCAGCACACTCCATCCAACACCACCTCTCCAATTACTGTTATCTCTTACATTGATAAGATTAAATTACTAACTCACAAATGAGGTCAAGCAAATCAGATTCCTCCTTTTCCTTTCCTGCTTGCCAGTCCTGAAAAAAGGGAGAATCTCATCCTGTAGGTAGGAGTCGTGTCATTTTAGACGCCTTAAGATGCCCCGTCTGGCTTCCAGCTGCCTTTGATGGGTGCAAGCTGCATGTAGGTTCTGATCACACATTCAGTTCCGTACACGTCTGGGATACTCTTAGGTGTGAAGAATGACACTAGATGCTTCTCTGTAGACAACTAACTCCCACCCTAACTGCTCAGAGCGAGAGCTGTCAGACTCCAGACTATGCAAAATGACAGAAGAATCTTAGAAGGGCACTGATATTAAAAATATTTATATATAGTTTGATTCCTGAAATAATATAAATAACATACTAATAACATCACAAAACACCTGCATGGCATATGCAGTATGCTACTGAATTATCTATGTAACATACTAGGCTACTCAGGTTTGAAGAGCCCACAGCATTTTTCTTCTACTTTGTTCAAGACTCAAATAAATGTGAGCTTGAGTGTGAGCATTTCCCAGAAATAACCAAAGCAAAACAATAGATTAATTGTGATTTAAACTCCCTTGAGCCTAGGCAGCCTCAGAAGTGCCTGCTACGCCTGTTAAAACAGCAAGGACAGTCCGGGGCAGGGGAGATAACCAAATGGGAAGCTCTAGCCAGGCCAGTGATAAGATCACTGAAGCCACTCTGAGGAGCACTTATTTTCTTACAGTGGCCCAGACAACACCACACTATGACAAATCGAAAAGACCGGGGCTCGTCTTTCTTCATAGTAGTCAAAAGTTAGAAAAAGAGGTAGAGTCCTCACATTGTGCTGAAATTCCACACCTCACTCTCACTTCTGGATACTCATATTTTACATAGGAAGGAATGATGTGAGAGAGAGAGACTTCCATGCTATTGAGAACCAATCTTAATCCAGCCCTACAGCAGATATGTAGCTAATCACCACATGGTTAGACCTATAAAATCAGATATATTTCTCATAGATAAAAAGTTCCAGTAAGCCAGTTGTGGGTTTCTACAGATAATTAAAGATAATTTAATATTGAAACCACTGCTTAAAATATTGCTGTGATAAAGCCATATGGAAAGAGAAGGTGCAAATCTGAAATGCAATGTATTTATTTTAAATTAGATGCTTATACCAGAGCAGAGGTTGTATATGAATGGACACGGGAACCAGCAAGATCAGTGGTTGTGGCTGAAGATGGCTCTCGATTGAACCAATATGATCTGCTTGGACAAACTGTGGACTCTGGAATTGTTCAGTCCAGTACAGGTCTGTGACAAACTTTTTGTTGGGAAGGGTGATAACTAAGTGCCAAAACATAATTTAGAGCAGGATAAAAAAATATGAAGACCAGAGAGTGAGAGAAATAAATTGCAATATATGAACTTCATATTAGGAAAACATGTCTCTGAAAAGATAACATATCCTGAGATTATTTTCCTACTTTAACTGGTGGTTAAAATATTTAAACAATTTAAAAGCTTCCTATAGTGACAGATCTAGCCAGAAAAAACAGTAATTTACATTATAAAGAAGCACTCCTCATTCTTACTGTATTATTTGCTTACTATAAAAGCTTAAAAAAAAAGAAGCATACAGTTTCTCAAGGAGGTATTTAGAGAGTGAAAAGAATTTTTTTTTTTGTTATCACATTAAAAACCATCTGGAATATCCAAACAGGTTTTAGGTGTCTTAACGTTTGTACCAGCTTTAACTCCAAAACTATTAATGAGACACGAAATATAGCTGACATTTATATTATTACATACCTGTAACCTTGAAGCTGGCTAAAAACCTTAGTTTTTTCACTTTGCAGTGTTTGTTCCAGATTTTTTTTTTTTTTTTTTTTTTTTAATTTGGAAGGGGCACGAAGACCTAAATATAGTAATAAACTGAACAATGGGCATGAACAAGAGCTCAGTGTTGACTAGGTTGGCTCTTCAGAGGACCAAAACAAGCACTGCATTAGAAGGAGTTGTACTGCTTTGAATGTACCCGACGTGTCTGAACTAGCGAAGTACACTTATACCTGCAGAAATCAAACTTTCTAATGTGTCATTCAAAGTCAATGAACATTTAAGGAAAAGTGAGTCGATATAAGGTGAACTCTAATTTGTGTCTGAATTTATTTAGTTTGCCAAAATATATTCATATGCTCTATTAAGCCAACAAAATTTCTCACAGACAAAAGTTTCTAGTGGACCAATATTCAGGTTACAGCTTGGAAGCTTCTATTCAATCGGTGTAATCATAAAAAAAGTGGGACAGCAGTAACAAGGACTTTGCATAAGAACAGTATCAGTACAATTGTTCCCATCGTCTCACTGCTTCCATTATTGAGCAGAGAGGCATTGGACAAGTAAAAAGAAAAGGGGAGAACTCTTGGCCTGGCCACAGCTAGAAATGTTGCCGCTGACTTTTGTGGAGACAGTAATTCACCTCAGCTGCCCTTTGCTGAAAAGTCAATAGGATTTGTGAGGAACTACAAGAATCTCATGCTCTTTGCTCTTTCTGTTCTGAAGCTACTCCCTCAGAGAGACCTCAACAACTTGTGTACCTGCTGTTTTACGCTCGTCGCCAATTCTCTGCTTGCTGGATGCGCTATAAGGGCAGTAGGATAATCAGAAGCCTTATAAGCTTGGGAATGTATCTAAACCAAATAGACAATACCAGATGTAGCCCAGGGTAATTAGTAACGTGAGAAGCACCCTATAAATTGTTAAGCAAGACAGATAATAATTTTTTAAACAGAACTGAAGGCAAACATAAGTATAAAATTTCTTCATACAATTCCATGAATTGAATTCTGCCTCCTTTTTCTACCTGAAGAAACTCTTTACCATGCCTATCTATAGAAGTTAAATATAGTATAATAATTATTCAATGAAATAAAGATGCTATTGTCTAGATGCAGAAAAACATTACAAAGAACTAAATACAATAGTTATCAAAACTGATAGTAAGTCCATTAAAGAATCTTTTTAGTACCAGACTTGTAATCCTCTTTAGTTACTACCTGGTCAGAAAATACAGTGGTGGAAGGAACATACTTATTGCTTGCAAATTCAATGTCTTAAGGAAAAATTCTTCTTGATTTGCTTTGGAAAGAAAAATGCTTTGCCTTCCCCAAAATAATGGTGGTGATCAGAAGTGGTCAATAAACACCTTTCTCCCCATTCAGGTAGGTGGGCAGCTAGCATCAACAGAATCCTCCCGCACATCTTTGTCCTCTGATCATCTCTATTTTAAGATATGACATATGTAAAGAAAATTATGAAATCCCTTCCTACTTTCAGAGTTGTGGACGATGACTCATCTCACCAAAAGACAAAAGGAATTGAAGACAATCTTCACTTAAGAGCTCTCAGCACCTTTATTAGGCAGGAAAATTAAGCTCTTGTGCAGCTGATTCTGTGGATCTCTAGAGGAATCTACATCGTCTTGGGCAATTTAAAGATGTTATTATAGTTGTCTGGAATTCCAGACATGTATTTTCCAAGAATTTCTGTGTAACTGGGTTACTCCAAACATTCTCAAAACTGTTAAATGATTTGATGAATCCATAAAGCCCTTTTTTTCCCCCTTTAATTTCTTCCTTTGCTAGTAGGACATCTGCTATCCTTATTTCTGGGTCTAGAACACGATAACTACAGATACTGATTTTTTTTTTATGACAAGAATCTTGAAAGACTAGAACTTTTTTACAGCATGGTTGTTCATCTATGCTGGCAATGGAATGTACAGGTACTACAGGCTTAAAAATAGTATTCAGTAAACAAAATAATAATTATTGTTGCTGCTGTTTTGCTTAAACAGAAAGTCATCCATTTTTTGCTTGTATGTAAAATTTCTGTCACTCTCCAACTACTGACTCATATTGACTCAGAAATAGTTTAAGATTATCTTTTTTGTAAGCACTTTAACAGATATTTAAAGGGCTCATGCAAGCTTCTATTTACATAGAATTATTTTGCCACCTTGAAAACATTCCTTTGCACTGAGAATCATCAGGATTTATACTCACAATGGTATATTTTTTCTAATGTTCTGTAAATCTGCTGAAAGGTTGCTGTTCTTAAGAGTTTTTCTACTGGGTTACATGGCATAAATAGTAAATGAGGAATACTTTGTTTTAAATTAATGGCAAGAAAACCTTACTTCATACCTACAGCAACGGAAAAAGTATTATTATAGCTAAAACTCAGTCAAACCTTATGTCTGATGTGAGGCACATTAATTTTAGGTGTCCACCTGATAAACTGGGTTTATTACAGATAGTTTACAGACACCGAGTAACAGGTTTTGATGTAACTTTACTGAATTATCAACTATTTTCATCTAAGGACATAGGTTGACACCACCTGAACATCTGAATCAATGATTTGATATACTGCAGAATTAATGGCTGGTTAAAAACTGTAGCTACAGAAGCAGCAATCAACAGACACAAACTATTCCAGAGCACTGGAAATATTCAAACATGGACAATCGTTCAAAACATTAAGTTAATACAAGTGAAAGAGTTGTATGACTACTTTTAAATGCTTCATATTGTGCAATACATAAACTAGTTCAAACTTAATGGAATAAATAAAATGAAAAACAAATTTATCTGCTCACCACAGTTATTTATGGAAGACTTTAGGTATCCTAAGAAAGCTGAAAAGAAATACCTTTCCTTCTAACGTCTTTGGATAAGAGAATAAGAGGTAAGATGCATAAGCTACAACTTGTGCAAGCCCATTAATCAGACATTATGAATACAGGAAATATTATGCTCAAGAGCCATTTGAAATTTTAGCTTGCAGTATATTTTATGCCCAAATTACAAACCTTTGAAAACAGAATTACAGAGGAATTGCTCGAAAGTTAGACAGTGGTCAGCAGCTGTCATGAATGTGGCTATGCTTTTCAGTTAAAGAAAGCCATAAAACGCGGGAAGCTAAATAGTAAGTAACTGGAGTACTTTCACGTCCTGCAGTTATTTAAATAAATCTCATCAAAGATCTACTGTCTTCTAATAAATGACTACATTGGTACTTTGGAAACTTAAAAACAGGTTTTTGCCTCGTAGCTGAACTGTAGACGTTATTCTAGGCCTATTCTTTGCCTGATTCACTCCTCATGGCATTACCTTTACTTGACTTCTAGCTCAGACCTGCTGCAATGCTTAACAGACGAGAGTAATCCCTGTCTTTTTAATTGCCTTTACGCTTGGAATCTTGTTCTCATTTTCCAGAGGTTAAAAATACTTTGATAATTTAAGCAGCTAAATAAAGCTTCGGAGTACGGTGGTGTGTTCACTCTGTATTCTTAGCTTGCTATCTACAATCACTGAATTAATTCTGACATACTGTTGTGAGCATTCTATATCTGATTGCATTAAAATAGCTTCCCATGTCATATTTAGTAGATAAAATTAAATTATTGGCTCTTCTAGCCAAGGCCGGCACCCTTCACAAGATCATAATCTCTGGTACAGAGGAAAAGAAGGTTGTTTCAATGAAAGTTAAAGGTGGGCAAAATTCAAGTAATAATGCCCACCAAACTACCTTTTGCCAGTCCTATTTTTGAAGTATTTTCCTTGTATATCCTTTGCTTTACCTCTCAATTTAGAATTCATTTTCTTTTCCCCCTTTGCTACTGTCTTTTATATTGAAACATACCGGGAGAATTGCCACATCTTATTTATAAGCTTTTCTCAGGGTTATACATTGAGCAAGATTGTTCAACTGAATGTTCTTCCAGATTCTGAATTAAAGAAAAGGGCAGTTGACATGCTTGGTGCATAAGCAGTCAATGTCTAGACATAGTTTTTCAATCCAATTTAAGCTTTTCCTGTACAAGAGCAATATTTTCTTTCCAACTGCCTACATTTTAAAATAGAATAACAGTAATTTCATGTGTCATCTCTAATGTAGACAGAGGTTTCTGTTCAATTACGTGTCTACCTGTTTCTTTCCTAAGATAATATTTATTACATAATAAGAAGAATCGATCCACTCCAAAAAAACCATCTTGCAACAATTCTCAAACATCTTTTGAGAATATACTGTTTTCCGAATTCCATTTTCAGTGTTGTAAATGATGATCTGAAAATGAGGCATTAGTTGTTGTGTTCTGGCAGGAATGTTTTATAGACTTACATAAATAGTTAAGATTCCTTTTAATTGCAATTAGAATACCCAGCTCATATGTTTTGTAGCACCCAAAAAGTTAGTGCTAATGAAAATATTCTGTGTTATTCTTGCGTTTTCTATTTACTTCAGGAGAGAATAATCATTTAGTAAAATACTGAGTTACCAGAACAGGGACAGTTAATTTTCAGAGTACATAAAGCACAGACAATGGCAATGAAGACACAATCACATCAACTATTACATCTTTGGCCCAACTGAAACAATTCTGAGTGCCTGTCTTGATTTAGTCTGTATATGATGTTTACATGTGTATAATACAGTGGATTTCCATCTTCTAATGGAATAAGACCTTTCAAAAGAGCCCTAAACAGCCACCAGTTAACGTAGACTTTCATTGACTACTCAGAGATGAAAAGATGTAAATTTAATTAGCATTTCCCAGAACTGTCTAGTTTTGTATTATTAGTGGAACTTCAGAACCTGCTTTATTAAATGTTTTCTTCAGATCTGACCTAATTTGATCTGAGAACTTTTTTTTACAATAGCAGATAATATAATAAAAAAATAATTCCTATAAACCCCTCTAATTTGCATATTTATAAAAGCTTTACTGTTGATGGTTTTCTTGTTTTTAGGGGAATATGTTGTTATGACTACACATTTTCATTTGAAGAGGAAGATTGGTTACTTTGTCATCCAGACTTATTTGCCATGCATCATGACAGTGATACTGTCACAGGTGTCCTTCTGGCTTAACAGAGAATCTGTTCCAGCAAGAACTGTATTTGGTAAGCGAGACCTATAAACTATTTGGCAATCATAGGCCAAATAAGTTTAAGAAATTTTATGGTAAAACTAGTTGTGTGTAACACGTTATTGGGGAACAGCACGAGCTGGGACATGGTGCAGTACACAATAGTTAACACATTTCGTTGTGAAGATGTAGCGGATTTAAGGTCCAAAGTAATTTAAGGTCCAAAGCTTTTAAATGGATTGTTAAGAGAGACCTGAAAATATCTTAAGCAATCTATTACAGTTCAACTTTTCCAAAACAGTTAAGTATGCGAATAAAACATTTTTGACAATGGCAATGACATTCGCGGTGGAGATTGTCAAAAAGGCTTTAATCAGTGGGTGTTGGTCATTTGACATCCTTAGGTCCTTTGAAAATTCTTATTTTAAAAATATTTTTCATCAATCCCTTTTGCAGACTGCTGCTAAAGGTGTCCTGTTGAAATCAGTGACAATTTATTGTGCCTACAGTACTGAATAGATGCACTCAATGGATGCAGTAAGAAGGCAATCTAAAGGACTAAGTTTATACAGTTGGTCTCTAGTGTTTCAACCACTGCTCGCAAACATTTACTTTGAAATTAAAAACCAAACAACTAGCATAGTTTTTGGCGATATCAATCCAAGTCAAGTACATAATTTAAAAAATAACAAAGAAAAAAAGGTGACGTAGCAAATCTTCAGTTAAGGAAAACAGAACCTGAGATTTCTGTTATGTGACCTAGTCTTTTTCATGGTGTTCAGACAGGACACCTGAACACATGTGGCAGAAGGAGGTGGAAGAACACGCAGCCGAGTTGTCTTTCACACTAGTTTCCCTGCCTCAGGGCGCTGCTGGGGCAGGACGCCAGGGCCCTGCTGCTTTCGTGAAGAGAATTTACCCGTTTACGCTGGACATCCTGCCACAGAGTTACAAGGCCGATGCTGAGAAATCCAGACCCTCAAACTGTTGTTGAACAAGAACTATTTTTATTGACTTTTTCTGGCTCTCTTCACAGCTGTGTTTTAGTTTCCCAAAGCCTCTGGAAATCAGTCACCGTTTGCATAGCCTACACCTCCTGAACCATGCAGAGGCTTTCTGTTGATATACAGATGTGCGTTTATAGAAGGACAGTTTAGACGACAGCATAATTAAATTTGATTTACATAATATTGTTTAGATCAAAATCTAAAATTAGTTCTGAATTTTTATCATCAACTTCAATGAGAATTAACCTGGGACTTTTCTGGGCCTCTGTAGTCAAAGCTGTTGAAATTGTAACTATTTTACCTCTTTTTATACATGCCATTAAAAAGACATGTCAGATGATCAATTTGAAATGCCATACGTCATTGTCCCTAGATGGAGAACAAAATTCTTAGTCTCACAATGAATAGCATATAATACTGCACAGTGTTCAAGCTGCTACCTTCACAGGCTCAAGAACCCACACGTTTCTGAAAGCATTCCTTCTAAAAGACAGTTATTGAATAACTAGCCTTGTGTTTACTCTATCGCTATGTATCAGGATAGCTTTTTCATTTCCTAATGGCAGTGAAACTGTTTCAGAAAATGCCGCATGGATGTATATACATAAAGAAGCACAACTTGCTTCTTTTAGACAACTCAGTATCACAGATAGAAATTATAAATCCTGTTTTGCTACTATGCAGGAAAAACATAAGCTTACTAGCAATGAGTCAAAGATAAGATTAGGTTTTCTCTCAGGGAAGACAAATTGCTTCCTCGTTAGGCACTAATGATTCTTTACACCAGCACGTAAATATATTTTTCATTATTTGGTCTATTTTACACCACCACTTATTTTCGCTAACACTCAGTGCAGCAAAGATGAACTCGCAAGACACATTCAATACATGACATTGCAGTTGTCAAGGTAACTTGTGGACATGTGATGTGATGTGAATGTCTAGCCTGCACTTGTAGATTATTATATTCTTTTTCCAAGCAGCTGCAAGCAGAGTGAGGTAATACAGTCCTGCTTGCTCTCTGTGGCCACTTAAGGGAAAAGGTTTATCAGCAGTGAGAAACCCTGATACCAGAAATGCAAATTACATTATCATTGCTCTTACATATTTTTTTTTTTTGCTATTTTCAGGGCATCAGTGAATAAAGGGACAGAAATCTGTAAAACCATCAATTCAAATAAATGCAATATCATATAATGCTGAACTGTAACTTAGTGCATTTACACATACATTTGAAGGAGCATATACTGAACAAGTTGAATAAAAACAAGTTTTTTAGTTTTCTAGCTAAGTATTGTAGAACAGTTGCAAGAACAAACTAAAAATGTTAAATTGTTACATCTGTAGGACAATTCTCAGGGCATGAATAAGGAACAGCAACAATGATTCTCCAAATACCAGGAAACATAAAGTAGTATCCAGTTCACAGCTCAAGATATTATTTCCATTCCAACTTCAAAAATATTATTCTACTACAAAAATGTCAAAGAATAAAGGTATAAAAGATGTTTTGAAGATCCTGCAATTTCCACAGAACTTGAAATCTGATATCCTCAGTTAGCAACTGCACCTAAGTGGGGAAGTTTATAAGAATAAAGGGTGAAGACAAAGCTTTCCCATCCATTGTAGCAATTGAGAAATGAAGCACAAAATATAGGCAGTGATCTAAAGACACTAAAACCGTTTACTTTGCAGGAGTGACAACTGTCCTGACAATGACTACTCTGAGCATTAGCGCAAGGAATTCGCTCCCCAAGGTGGCCTATGCCACCGCTATGGATTGGTTCATAGCAGTGTGCTATGCCTTCGTGTTTTCTGCACTCATCGAGTTTGCAACAGTGAATTACTTCACAAAGAGAGGCTACGCATGGGATGGCAAAAGCGTCGTTCCTGAAAAGGTAACGCTGATTATTTTTACTTCTTAGTCTGTAAGAGAAACTGATTTGTTTTGGGGGAAGCATTGACAGCGGTGTTGGGAGCGTGCAATCCTGATCCATCCCTCCCTGAATGCAACAGAGAGACATCACACCGAGTGCCTTTGGTCTGGGATCAGAGGTACACCAAGAACTTGTTGAGGACATTTAGGGAATGAAAGAGAAAGTTTCCCGTTTCCTATGAGCTATCATGTCAGCTGCTTCTGTCAGAAAGCTCATTTGGTTGTGGGGTTTTTGGTTTGTTTTGGTTTTTTGGGTTGGTTAGTTTTTGTGTGTGTGATTTTGTTTATTTGGATCTTTTTGAGTTTTTTTCTTTTTGTTTTGGTTTTGTTGTTTTTTGGTTTTGTTTTGGGTTTTTTTTTTTTTTGAGATCTTGAAAGAGAGTTTTAACTTGCCTAAATGGCTATTATGAACATTCACAGACTGGAGATTCAGCAGAATAAATATTTGGAGGAGCAGATGCTACTCATTGGTATGCGAATATGTGTGTTTAATTCAGGAGTGTATGCCTGTTGGGTTTTTTTTTTTGTTTGGCTGGGCTTTTTTGCTATTTTAATTGCATCAGTGAGAAAACAGAAATAAAATTAGGACATTTACACAATGACAACTAATACAAAGGTACTGTAGAACAAATGAGTGAAGTAACAAAACAAACTTACAGTACAGACCTGCACGACTGTTGCTGAATATTGAGTTTTCAGTTACTGATGATACTTTCTTTGAAAATAAGTTGTTTGATTTTTTGTTGTGCTTCTATCTTCATGATACCTATTGTAAAAAATGGGCTGTATTAATACAACAAGATCCTCAAATGTTAAATATTGCCTTGATAATATAACCTACCTTGCAACATGGTTACTATAATCAGCCATTTATTTTTTTCAAAGAAAATTACACTTTCAGAAAAAAACCCACAACAATATAAACACAATATTCAAACGCTGTTAAAACATTGGAAGATTTATGGCTTTGCATTCCTCAGCAGGTAAAGGTCTTCATGTGTCGTTTGATATAAGTAAGCAAAGACATACCAATACCCAGTAAAATGCATTATCTGCAGACATAAGGAAAGGCAAGCAGGCAAACTCACAGTGAATAAAGCATCACAGCTTAATAAAATTTAGAGCTCTAATTAGCTGTCACATTACTTTTTCATAAAGTTGAATTTGACATGAAATATTAAGACCCTGACTAGTGTCAGGACTTTCTGTGGATCAGATTCCTCATAACATTCAAATTTTTAGAAAGAGTTTCTTCTGAGACTTCTGTGAAGTGGTTCTTTGCATCCTGGATTTATTGCTGCTTGCTAGAGTATCTGACTGAGGAGGAAACAGGACTGGTTTTGTACTCAGCAAGCATGTTACGGGCCTTCCTGTTCAGGAGGAAAAGAACAAATAGACAACAACAACAATAAATCTTTCCAACATCGCTCTTTTTCTTTTCTGAGTATTTTTTTGCAACTTGTTCATTCCTCCTATTCCGCAGAAATATTCTAAGACAAATTTAAGTTTTTCTTAGCCTCAAGCTAAGCCGAGTATTATTGTCATGAAACACAGAGCATCTGCATCAGAGTTATTCCATGAATTCCTTTTCTAAGTAACAGAAATTTAACATTTCAGCCTTATTTCCTTCCTGTGTGGGGCTCCAAGCCATGCTTCAACAAGCCTTTCCCCACTTGCCCTGATGCTTTTGCAGCTTCCTTTCCCATCCCCAGGTGTTCTGCAGGAGCCTATGTATTCCCTGAAATGTTAACCCCTTGAACAAGAACTTATCAAAGCCTCCCTAATGGGTGGTCTAAATACTATTAATTTTATGACAGTTGATCCATCATAAAAAGTACTGCAACTACATTAAAAATCTTGCCTCCGTGGGACAGATGCTTCTTGAAAACAGACAATTATATTTGCTATCTTGTGAAATGACATAATAGATCATATTCTGCTGGTATGTTCTCTTTAGCTTTTTTTTTTTTTAAGGATAAAAGATAACATTTGCCTCTTGTTTTTTTTGTGGCAAAATACTGACTAAAGATTTTCGAAGTTCCTGGGATTTTTTTTTTTTTGGTTATCTGTTGTTTTTTTCTCATAATCAGGGGAACTTGGAGAAAAGTGAGGTTTCTTGTGACCTCCTTAATGACCCATTACATCCTTCTTCTATGTTTATCCTTGTGCAGTGGCTGGAGGAAGGGTTTTGACTGTCTGCAACAGGGACAGTTGAATTCCCGATGTCAAAATTCAAGGTTTTCCTACAAGTAGATCCCAGAAGTAGAATACTAGAAAACATAAGGACCCAGGGGAAAAATCTAGATGTTCTTTCTGATCAATAAGTTCTTCTCCACTACGAGACTTTCAATACATTCTTGCTTTAGCAATATAGGTAGGTGGATGCAAAAACCATACAGCTATTTAAGTCCCTGTATGTGGAATGACATTTCAGCCATTATGACCCAGTTGTAACATTCAAACAAGAACATTAAGTTTCTATTCCATAATGCATATGCTTTTGGTGTAAACTGTTAGTGAATAGAATACTACCAGCTTTGCCTTTTATTAAATAATCCACTCTTTGTGCATGGTTACATGGTATTTTTATTGTACATTTTTATGGATAAACTGTGTTAGAATGCATCATATAACATTATTTGTCTTAATAGTGAAAAACTACATTAAGAAATTCAGTGTCTTTTAAATTTTTTGTCCTGGTGAAGATCCACAGTTGATTAAGAGAATATTGAGTTATGAGTTGTTTGTCACTGGTGATTACCCTTAAAGGTAATTTTGTCTATCAGTGAGCCCAGCTAACAGTATAAGTCCTCATTATAGTTTACCCATCATCTAATTTGTTTAACTAACACAAGTAATGCAGATGGATGTTTTTGGTCCTTGTATTCACCTAAATATTTTGCATGAGTCATGTATCTAGACACATTACAGCTTATTACAACTTGTGGTATAAATTCAATGAATAGCAAAATTTTATGGTGTTTTCTCATAATCTTATCTGTTGAGAAGACAGTGAGAATAAAACATTTTCTTCTTTCTTCAGCCAAAGAAAGTGAAGGATCCTCTCATTAAGAAAAATAACACATACACAGCTGCAGCTACGAGCTACACACCTAATATTGCAAGGGACCCTGGGTTGGCAACCATTGCAAAAAGTGCAACGATTGAGCCCAAAGAAGTTAAGCCAGAAACAAAACCTGCAGAACCCAAGAAAACTTTTAACAGCGTCAGTAAAATTGATCGACTATCAAGAATAGCCTTCCCATTGCTTTTTGGAATCTTTAACTTAGTCTATTGGGCTACCTATTTAAACCGGGAGCCCCAGTTAAAAGCTCCAACTCCACATCAATAACCTCATTTATTCGTATAGTTCTGTTTTGTCTTTTGCTCTGGGAATTGCTTCCCATTTTCACATACAGTAATTCCCATTTGCTTTATTGCCTCTGTCTTAAAGAAAATAAAGATTTCTCTATTTAACAAAAGGTAAAATATATCTGTATATTTTGAAAAACTTTGTGTGAGAGAGAGAACAATATAAGCTATATAGTTTGGAAAAGTGATTCTGAAAATGGGAAAGAGAGAGTTGTAGAGTAACAAAAAAAAAAAAAAAAAAAAGAAACCATTTGTAGATAACTTAGTACTGAATGTCCCCAAAAGCTATTGTATATGTACGTGAAAGAGATATTTTTATTCAAAGGATTGTAGGGAGTGGGAAAATATTCTTTATGATGTTCCTGATGCGCATACTATACCATACCATTTATTCAACCGCTGTTTATAACCTTTTCAAAGATGTAAAGCTTTCCATTTGCTGAATCCCATAATGTTATTTTCCTAATCCCTTTTCTCTTCTGTATTCCAACCCACCTGACTTATAATATTAAATGGTCTTCAAATAAAAAGGAAATCTACTCACTCTAGGTACAGTTTGTCACTGTATAGCACATAAGATCTAATGGTAACAAATGCTTTAATCTGCTGTCTTACTACAGTCTTGCTCTAAGCATTAAATTGTCACTAGAGTAGATTTAAAAAACCAGTTGCACAGTCAAGTGCAAATCCCAATTTCCCTGTGTATCATGTGTGATACAAACAATTCCTGGATGCTTTTACAGATAGTTTTTACTCATCACTACATTTTAAAAAGTTAAAAAAAACCACCACAAGCCAACCAATAATTTTTGCAAGCTCCAGATATGTTGAATGTATTCTTTTATAAAATGATACGTTAAAAGAAGCTTTAGACTGAGATTTAAGGATAGGAGAAAGACAAAATATAGTATTTAAGTAATATATGTAAATATGCAGCATGAGATTGTACATTTTTTTACTTTTTTAAAGTTGTGTTCTTAAAACATCTGTAGGGTTCACCTCTTAGCTCTTAATATGTTGTTAAATGCTCAATAAAACATATTTAGAGCCTGAATTTAAAAAAAAAGTCAACGGTACTAGAAAGCCTAATAAAAATTTATCAAGAAAGTGCTTGGAATTAATTCCATTTGCAAAGTGGTTAAGTGTACAGTAGCTTGCAATTTGACAATGTCATCCAGTGTATACTATTAGATTAATGACTGGTTTGCTCAGGTCATGCGTAAATACTACAGTATGGGATTATATTTGGTAGGTAAAAATGGTGAAATATTTGTTAAGACAGAAGTTCATCTGTATATTACTGCTATATTTGCTGATACATAACTGTTATAATAAGTGATGTAATATATGTAGCATTAAATACAAAAAAGTCATACGTAAAAGAATGTACAGGAAAATAGATTTTATTGAATACACTTACTACATTTCATTTTTACTGTAGCAATATATTTGTAGGAACAATATGTAAGGGCTTTAAATACAAGATGTCCATTTTGCAGGTATTGTGTTCCCTTTAGAAAAATTCTAGTCAGTATAATTACTGTTGATTCTTAGAAATAAAATTTCAAATAACGATTTTTCAAAGAAATGGGAAGAATGGTGGATATTCGCAAGCATCAATTACATCAATTAAAAAACATAATATATGGGCTTGAATGAATTTTAAACAATGCTACATGAGCCTCCAGAGAAACAGCTGCTGAGACTCAAATTTCATAGGCAATGTTTCCTAAACTCTTTCTCAATGAATCAGAAAGTTGACATTATCTACAAAAGGAAAAAGTTAATGTTTTATTTAGAGAAGATTTTTAAAAAATAATATGTCATTGTCTAACATTTAGTCCTGTCTAAACGGGATAAGTTATCTGATTGGAACTTATTAAAAGGGGATGTTTCATCTTCTGGTATCATGTGTAGATATATGTATAGAAAAAAATAAACTATGGCTCTTTAACTTCTGTGTACTTGTTTATCTTGTTATTTTTGGCGTTAAACTAGTGTGTTCATTTAGGGCATTTTATCTTTCTAGCAATTCATCGCTACCTTTTGGTCTGCATTTTGCACATTAGATGTGAATATTACTTAACTAGTCTGCTTTTTGCTATGCAATGATTGCATTATATCACCTCTTAGTTAGTCTATACCGATAGTATTATACTGTATAAACTTGATTGCACAGTTTATCAAAGACAAGGTATTCTCTATGTAGCTTTTTTACAATGCTTTGCTAAACCATGTAATAATAGTAAGTCTTCCTTGAAAATAATGATACACTCTTATAGAGGACAGTTTCTGTTTACTCCTGGGATAATTTTAAAAAGATGACATTGAATGTTTATTGCACCTCAGTGCAGTGATGTGGCAATAAAACCTAAATCTAATAGAGGTTGTTTATGGCAGAAGCATGTATTACTTTACAGAGTTTAGCAAAAGCTTTATTTTATGTCAGACTGTAATTCTATCATAATAATAAAGTTAAAAATGTTCAATAATGAAAGTGGATGTTTTACTTTGGTTTCCTTTAAAATTCAAAAAAATGCCTTTTATGACACATTGCTTGATAAACTGCTATTCATTCAAAAACTTCGTGTCTGTGGATATGGTAATGAATGCAGTTTTAATAGATAGAATTTTCTGTCCGATGTTTCCCAGGGACAAATATAACAAGAATGTTTCTGAAATCTGATTTCACTTTCAAAAAAAAAAAAAAACTTCAGTCTGTACAATGTATACCCAGTAAAGCAATTAATCGAATCAGATGAACAACTGTTAAGGTTTAGTACCACAACAATGACTATGATATAGGGTAGGAACAGAATCAAATGCATCGTCTCCCAAATAAAATGGCAGATAAACCAGAGAATGAGAGTAAAAATGTGGGTATTTATGTTCTAGATTTTACCTTTTAAGTAAATGCACAGCTCTAAGACAGACTGTTAGAAGAGAACCTCAGGCTGTGTAAAATATTTTTTCCACTTATTTAATGAGTTGTGGGGATAGCATTCTAACAAGCATATGTATAACTTGAAAATTTTAATTCTCAACTCTTTGTTCTTTCCCCCATAGAAAAACACAGGGACAGGAAAAGTCATTCCAGTGCATTCAGCCTTCAGCCCTCAAATTTTCTTGGAAAAGTTCCTGAAAAGCAAGGCTCATGCTCAGATATAGGGGGAAACAACCAGCTGCAGACATACAGTTTTAGAGAACCCAAAGCAGGAAAGGTTCCTAAGTGTATATGTGTATATAACAATATTCACAGTGTTCTTCAGCATGAGTCCTACGGAAGGATGCTTCAAAATGGATGGAAAGATTGTGTTAACATGGACTCAGACTCTATTAATTTATTATGCTTTCCTCAATTTTGACCAAGAATAATGCAGTCTGAATCCCTGTACCTTGCCTCCTACTACTAACTCCACGGAGATGAATCCCTATGGAAACCCACGCAGGATTTTCTGGAGGAGTATGGTAAAGTGGCAAGTGGCACTGTTTGAACACCCACCTCCTATGTTCACATGACAGATGCAGAGCATCCATGGGGATTCTCACATCTCCTCTGTCACTGCTCAGATGTTTTTAAGCAGTATTTTACTCAAGTAAAATGAGTGAAAGTGTCTAGATGCAACAGGATTTGACTCAGAGAAAAATAAAAAGCACTATTCAGCTTTACAGAGTGAAAGAACAGCCTCGTCAGATGACAGATTCACAATCACTGGACAGTCCAGCCTGACATGGCATTGCTGTGTTTGCTCTAACTGGTATTACATCAGCAGGGTAAACTCCAGTTTTTATTGGATCATCCCTAGAAGCTACTGCAGGACTTCATTAATGACTAAGAACTTTTTTTACAACAACAACTTCCTTAATTATATTCTTTCTCTTGGATAACTATGTGAGACCTGAAAAAAAAAAAAAAACTGATTTCCTTTTCTCTTTATCTCCTCCTATTTTCACCAATAAGGTAAATAATAAAAGCTTATGAAACACCCTAATGGCTAGAAAATGGGGCACATAAGCTTCAGGGAGCAAATAATAAGAGAACCTCTTTCAGCCTGTGCTTTTTATCGGAATGACTGTCCAAATAAATTAGTGTGACTGGGGAAAGTCAAACTTTTTCTTAGAGGCTGTAAAAATATCAGTCATACTTTAAAAGATAAAAAGATCTCCTCAGACTTTCTGTAGCAGATCCACAGAAGAAAAAAAAAAATCTGCTAAGCATAAACATGATATAGCTTAAATAAAAATGTGTTTGCAGTCTTAGCACATGAATTTTGCAAGTGAAGTGTATTATCAGCTTGTCAAGCTGCTGCTGTCACGTTACATCTGATTACAAACTACATCATATACAACAAGAGAGGTAAAAGCCTTGAAACGACAAGTTTCTATAGGCTCATCCGCTCTGGCTATAGGCCCATCCCAACAGGCAGGATGACTTCACAGCTTCTGAGAAACTTGATTGAACTGTTTTAGGGCATTTGAAGATGTTCCGAGTAGGTTCTGCCCTTGCAGCACAGCTGTTATTCGTGTCTCACCCAGAGACTACGGACTTTTCCCCTCCGAAGCCTGCAGACAGACAGATCGACCAGCAAAGGGCACTGCTTTTCCCAATGTGGCATCAAGGGAGGAGAGACGTGTTGCTGAACTCTTTCTCCAGTCAAGGACATGTGAATGCAGATATGATTAATTTCTTTCAAAGTGTCCTTTTATATGTATTTAACTAATCTCAAGTTGTACAAGCCTAAGGTTCTGAACCAGGCCCAAGATGCTACATTTCTTTAGAATCGGTTTGCTAATGGCCGCTCAGAGTGCGCTATCTTTGCTACGTGGGAGTTTTACATGTATGCATCATCATTAAGTAAATGTGCTTTTACTTAAAAGGTAAAATCTAGAATATAAATATAATATAAATATTTATAATATTATCATCATTATAAATAATATAAATAATAGTTTATGAATAATTAAATTCATAAATTAAATATGAATTTAATTTATCATTAAATTCATAAAATTCATGAATTTATCATGAAAAATCATGATAATTTCCGCAGTTAAACTAATGACCTTAATACTAGGTCACTGAAGTGCCTCATAGGACAAAAATAATACAGATGCTATGGGATTAATGCAAATTTCTTTTAAAAAACCCACAGGTCCTATTCCATTACCTCCTGTAGCAGCAGAACCACACTTCTACACAAGTGGTTTGTAAGCTTCTAGGATTTCTCTCCATTGTAGTAACATTTGTTAATGCAACAAATTTACTGCAAAGATATGAAAAATTCCAGAAAAAAATTAAACAGAAGAAAAACTTTCATTGTCATCTAAAACCAAAAATAAAACCTAGTGAAGCCACAATAGAAAGACCTTTCTCTTTAATTAAATTACTTTTTAATGAAATATCTTGCAAAAACAGAAAAGTGGATTTCAGCCAAGAACCTTTTAAATGAATGCACCTTTTTAAATAGAAAAAAAGCCAATACAGGCCACGGTAAAAATCTCTGCCAATTGTTAGGACCTGCTGTAGGGACATAAATTTAAGAAAAATAACCTTTTTCAATTAAACATAATCAACTACATTAAGAGGCCATCTCCTTTTTGGATGAAAATGTTAAGTTCAATAGCTTCAGGAGGCATTGTAGACTGGGCTTTTACTTTCATTTTGTTTTTCTACAAAAACCCATGAAATTCAACTTCAGTTTTCATCTTTTTCCTGTCTGAGGGGCTACAGTAGGCATGAAGAGGTGAGGGATGCAGTTCTTAAAGGTAAAGGTGCATAGCTCATGAAATAACCCCTTGGGAGTCTTAGATCAAGCATTAGTTTTAATATGGCAGTGTGAAATATTTTTGTAACTAGGTCTCATGGACACAACAAAATAATATGGAGATTAATGTAAAACTTTGTGGGCTTGATAGTATTTTGTTTCTTCGTTTACGTGAGACTGCTCCATATAGCTATTCAGAAGACAATACCTTCTGTCAACCAGCCTGCTGGCTTCTGCACGTTTCTATCATGTCCTCCCTATCTTGCCTAACCAGTGCTTGATTTGTAAGGAACGG